CTGTACTCGTATAGACGAGTTATGAAAATGGATGAAACGAGATAAAGTCTACAGAGGTCTTTGGCACTCCATACTCAGACTATATAAAAAAAGCTATTTATTGCTTTTGTGCATATCCGTAACCATAGACTAATGTTTAAGTAATGTTTTGATATTATCTGTTTACATTAATGTCTATGCCCAACTTAGGTAAGCACTATCATCTATAATGTGCTATGAAAGTACTTAAGTAGCCGTATTGGTTGACACTACAAAACGGTGATAAATTAATTTCACTTTGTTATTTAAAGTAGCATTTTTATTGCAATTTTGTAATTATTAGTTATTAGTGGGTAGTCCATTGGTCGAAACCATAGTTAATTTAATATTTAGGAAGACTATAGACAAATTATATTAAAGATAAACAATATTAAACTAGTCTCAATGTGAGAACAGACTTTAACAATAAAGAAAACAGTATCTCTGCGTGTGTCTGTAAAATGCATGATAGTCTGTGTTATTTCTTTTTTATTGATTTAATGTATTTTTTATGCACAATTAAAAACAAAATATTAGTATTTTGCACTACTTCTCTATATAAAGTATTAGTGTGGGAAATTTCCTACTCCTCCGTCCAAAGTTTTTGCTTCACGTTTTATTATAATATATAGATATACAGTTTACTCGCGACTTCATACGCTTTCACAGGATGGTTGTTGGTGGTTCAACTTTGTACAGAATTAAAAAAGTAGCTCAAAAACTTATTGTGGTAAATCTAAATATGATATTAGATATTATATAAATCATAATTAAATGTAGTAACCACTATTAAAAATATGGTCATTAATTCAAATTTGATTACTACATGTTAAAATGTAGTTATATATATGAGAATATAATAAAAGAAATAAAACGACGTAGTACTACAACATATTATCAGTACAAATACTTCAAATCTTTATATTCTATGTAAATATCGTTGCAACTGGGAAACTGTAGTTACAAAAATAAAACAAAACCGTTCCATTAACGGCCACAGTAAACCAGAATGACTGGTTAATTTGAGTGAGCACCTATTCAACAACCGAGTTTATCTAAAGAAAATATTTCAATACAAAGTCATCCAAAGGCTAGAGGGATATTTATTTGTAGATAAATTACTAATTGATAAAATACAACTACTACAAATTGTTAATATAAGAATTTGTAGTGAATCGAGAATAATTTTTCCAATTAATTATCCAAAATGCTTCACGGATGATAAACAACTTAAATGCGAAGCTATAAAGCGTATAATCTCCTGGCTATACCACATGACATTCAACTAATGGCTCTACTTCGGCCTACAAATCTCTCAGTCCGTCCCCTGGTATTGTGCGCCAAACTTTTATTTGCTCCTTATACCTCTGTCGCCTGATTCACCTTTTTCCTTTTAACTCGGACAATTTTTAAATGGCTTATGTTTGATACTATTATTGTGTGCCAATCAGCCTGAATTACAATGTCCTTTAACAACGGCCGAACTAAGAATTTTAGTTACAAATCATTTATTTTATCTTTTTGTTTCGGGTAAACAAGGCAGTTGTTCGCTTTATTTAGATGAGCACCGAGTTGAATGCAATTCTTGAATTTAAATAACTCGGGTCTTGAGAAACCGTGTAAAGGTATGCCCTTTTGAGAATAATAATATCTACCTGTATATTTTCGTCAACTGTCTTTCCGTTTAGTGACAGTTTGAGCGTGTATAAATATTCTTGTCGAGCACTCGTTTTGTTTTTGTTCATCTGATTTATGTTCATCATATCAAATATATTGTCATTTAAAGAACACACTTTAATGTTATCACTCATCATTCTCTATTCTAAAAAATACTGTATTGCATGTTGCATGTTCTCGTATTACATACAGATACGTGCTTGACCACATTTCGGAACTTTTTTGTTGATCACGAAATTGCTATCAATACATCAATTACAACCGTCAGGCCATCCGACTTTTAAAGTATTAGCGTCTCCATTAAAGTCACTAATTGAGATGTGCAGAAACGCTTAAATGTAACACTTTTATAAATTCTTTTTAAGTACCACAGTGTTAACCGGAGTATGCAATAAATCTCATTGTGACCACTCTTATCTGTTGTAAAGAGGTAGCCGATATAACCTGTGTCAACTTGCTTGAAATTTAAATATAAAACAACTTAACCAGTATCGTTTGAACCGGCCGTTTTGTCATTATCTACACTACTTATATTATCAAGTGCAAATAATATTATTCTTTAAATTTTCACTCTTGAAAAATATTTGTGTAATAAAATTTACCAAAATTTATAAGATCATAAATTCTTATCGAGATGGTGAAGTTTATAGTCGATTTCATTGCAGATTAAGCCTAATTAAATTTGACAAAAATCATTAAACGTATGCTAAACATAAGCACATCGTGTGTGGCACACAACTCTAAGTTGTTATCAAAAATCTCTTCATTAAAAACTAAAATACGGGGTCGTTGTAACGTCTGCAAGTTCTTTCCGATCGGAAAGATCCTTAATAAGGCTTGCAATGCTGGGACAATCTGGTTCTCTCGGGTTTGCATGCAAGTTAGTTATGTCGATGGTACATCAATCAAGACGACTGGGATCTCAGCCTCAATAATAATAAAGTAAGCCAAGATCTGATTCTGGCATTGTTTCAACAAATGTGTTTCTTGGAAAAAGGATTGCATTGCGTGCTACACTCCAATGAAGGACTTACAATTTTTCGTAAACACAAACCTGCTTACTTTGCCCGAGTTAATTCACAAAATATTTGGTTGGTACCTTTCTATAATAAATTTTTAAATCAGGTGGTTTTTATAAATAGTTGAGTTCCTTCTTTGACTGTAATTTCGATAATCTTGAATATTAGTTTAGATATATTACTACACTCTGTATTTTGATATCAATCTTTTAGACTTTTAGTATATTTTAGTCCTTATTCTTGGCTTTGATATCTGCAACAATATATTGTATACTATATATAATCGTATATCATTTAACAAATATACTGGTTTATCACTCTCGATGGTATAAATAATTAGTCCTTTTTATACACTTTTAAATAAATTATTATAGTGTTTCGTCCCACCAAAATTACGGTAACTCGACAGTAGTCCCGGTCTATTTTCAAGCTACCCTTTGCTCCTAAACAAACATCGCTACGCCCCGAACTTACAGCTCACGAAAATAAAACAATCATTGTCAAAACTTAAAAATGAAGACACAAGCTCTCAACGGAAATTACTAAAACTAACACCGTTAAACGTTTTTGTAGTTAAGCAACTTTCAATCATAAGGCTATTGGAATAAGTGGTAATATTGTAAAATTCTTGTTCATCGTTGCAAACCTCATTTATCTTTGCCTTAGAGGCCAGTGCAATTAATCAAGGGCTGTTGTCACGTCGGTAATATACAGCAGATAAAGTTGGAGAGATGATTTCAGGCTAATTATAAGAGTTGTTTCATGAACCTTCTTTTTGGGTCCACTTAACACCTACCGGGTCAATTTGTCGGTTGTTTTATTCGCAGTCGACCGATTTAGTGCATAAGTGGCTTGCACTGCAATAGCGTGAACAATGTTTGGCCTCGTTACTATTAAGGAGAATAAATATCTATATTTACTAGATCATCATGAATGTATGTAATGATTTCGTTAAAATAAGGCTGGAAAATTTCTGAAAGGTGATTTCTTTTAGCAAATCTTGTATACTTGTATATTATATTGCAAAAAATACAGCTGCATTATTAACTAGACTTATATATATATGAAATAGAGAGAAGAAAGTTTTAAGTATTAGTGAATAATTTAAAACTTAATAAAGTTTTTGTTTATTTCAATATACAAATAATATGTTATCTTAAATAAAAACAGAGTAACACGTGTTAAGTGTTTTTCTCTTTTTAATTAAACATCAATTTATATTATTTTTAAATATCGAGATACTATAATATATTTATTAGTGATAATAAAATAGCGCCGGTACAGATACAAACAGATTAATAATTTGTTCAACGGTAAGGTTAAAAGGTAAATGCTCTTAACCTAGAATTTTACGTGGTTTCCGAAACACGACTTTTCCCTTCATCGTAAAATCTTGATTATACATAATTATATGATATAATTTCTTTTTAATTAATTAATAGATACGGAGATTTTAACGCTGCACCGGCAAGTCCCATATTTGCGGGAAAACGGCTATAAAATGTTTAGTAAACCGGTTTAGTAAACTTTATAGCACGAAACCCACAATTTGAAGAACGAATTACACCTAGTTCTGGCGTTATATATTCAAATACATATTTTTTAAATACTGTACATTTTTTTTATGTGTATTTTAATACAATATCTCTGCAAAAACTGAATTGATATTAACGATTATTCTTGCAATCGACAGGATTTATTTTTTTATTGTGTGAACATTAAAATGGTCATATAAAAAATCGTAACACTATGATTTCTCTCAGATATATCATAATTTTCATGTATATTAAAAATAAAGCGTGTTTAAGTCTTATTATAGGTATAATATAGATAGATTTTTATTGTGAGTACATACTACATAATATAAAAATAATGACGATAATAATTTTATCAATTCTGGACAATCCATACGACGTCGTTTAGTCCTACACTTATGGATCCTAGACAACTGTTATAAATACTTCAAATTTTTTTGAAGTATTTACAACATACATACACAATATACATTTTATTCACAGATCATTACAAAGAATTATACTATGAATACGCACATTTGCACCAGGGATTGAACCCGCGACTATCGCAAAGTAAGGCGGTGTGCTAATCCCTAGTGGATTCAATTCAAAATTCAGATCATCAAGGATGCCATAGATAACATACATACAAGTATTTATGTTTTCCAGGAATCGAAACTACTACCAAAGTAACGATGACTCAATGTTTTAAAAATATATTAAATTAAAACGTCTTTACTTAGAAATTAAAGCATCTTCTCTTTTTTTCTAGATGTCAGCAATAGACCCTGACTGCGGAGTCAACGCCATCGTGAATTACACCCTGGGAGATGGAGCAGCTCGTCCCCAATTTACTGTCAAGCCTGACAGCGGAGAGCTCTGTGTGGCCGCACCATTGGACCATGAAATCAGTAGCGATTTTGAGTTTCCTGTGGTTGCTACAGATAGAGGTAGGTATCGAAGTAATGAAGGATAATATAGACATCCTAAAGCAAGTAATAAAAGACATAATATAATAATAAAAGATATATAAATATATAATTACAATCTCAACCCGTGATTTCATATCTGTATAAAGTCAAACTCACACTGAAAAACATTTACTCATGTAGGATAGTCCGGTGGCTCGCTAGTCATTTATATTATGTCAGGACAATGTACACAACGCCATCTAGTCCCACGTTAAGTTACTTAGAGCTTGTGTTATGGCTATTAGACTGATTCAAATATTTATAAACATTTTTTTGTAAATACATACATATTATACATAGAAAACATCTTTACAAACAATCATACTCATTTAGTTATGGTTATGGAAGTATACATTTTCTGATCAATAATAAAATCAATTTTCTACAGATTATAACTTTAAAGTCATACAAATGTATCAATAACAATAATAATAACTCTGAATAATGCACACAACGCCATCTAGTCCCAAGCTGAGCAACTTGTGTTATGGGTACTAAACAACTGATAGACATAGTTAAATACTTTTTTTGTAAATACAAATCAAATTAAAGCTAATTTAATTTTTTATATTAATATTTTTTCCCTACCTTTCAGTACAGTATACAGATTCTATTGAGAACAATACACTTATAAAAACCATCCAGATCAGTACAAACAATCGTAATCATAACCGTGCATAGAATGGAACCCGCGACTATAGGGAGTAAGACGGTCTGCTAGACCACCGAGACCGAAACACATAATTGCGAAAATTAATTTCCTATACATCAAATACAATTATTTCTTAACTTTCAACTAGTTCTCAAAACGAGTTTCATTTAAATATTCTGCCACCATGAGAGATAATTTTAATTACATATTATCACGATATATAACTGTGTTTTTTCATATATATTTAAATTGGTATTTCGTTGAAACATTGATTAATAATTCAACTATACATCTTTAATTACAATGAATATTAATTACTGTTACTGAAATAGAGAACTACTTTATAAATATTTCAGAACTAAAATAGTAGAATTTATATATTTCATATAATAAGTATACCCTTGGAAAATTCAGACAACGCCATCTAGTCCCAAGTTAAGCAAAGCTTGCGTTATGGATACTAGAGAACTGTTATAAATATTCAGATATTCTTTTGTAAATACATACATAGTATGCATAAAAAACATCCAGAACAAACAATCATAGTCATGAATACAAATATTTGTACCGTATGAGGAATCGAACCCACGACTATCGGAAATAAAGCGGTGTGCTAAACCGCTGTCATTGAGTCCGTCAATGATTTAAAAAATAAGTTTCATATTCTTTTTAATAACTATTATTTTATCAGATACCTAGTTAGCGATTTAGCTATGTTTGTAGATGAAACAATTTTGAGTTTTGCACAGACTAAAAACAAAATGTTTCCTTTCTATGATTGGATAAATAGAAAAATATAAATGCCTTTAAAATTTGTGTTCTAAATCCCCAAAATGTTTTTACAATTAAATCTCCACGCTGTAGCTCAAAAGTTCGGCGACTTGAATCCCAAACGAAATTCTGAATGTGTCCATCGGCCTGATTTATGGAGCGAAGAACAGCCAACTATTACCGCGGCTTTTTTTATTTCCAAGTCGCAGAGAGTTTGTTTCGTTACTCAGTCCAAACCGCAATTCAAATCAAAATATCTTTGTTCGTGTGTTCTTGTTGTTTGACTTATCATAACTGTCTGTAATAGACTTCTATTACAGACAGTTATGATAAGTCAAATCTACAGTCAGTTTCGAATTTAGTTTGTACTGACAAGAAACTTCTAAGTGCCTTTATTGTCAGTTCTAGGTTATGACTCTTCTCAAACGAATTTCCATATAGTTGAAGAATTTGTGAATATATTTAATGGAATTAGGTGTTATTTTGCGGAATTCATTTTATAATTGTAGGCGAATTAAATAAAATAATATAAATCCAATAGATAGTAACATTTAATAATATTTAGATTTAAAATTTATATAGGTACATAGTAGTAATTTATAAAAGGTGATAATATCAAATGAAATTTAGAATTGACTATTAAAATAATAATAATATTGCAGGACAATTCACACAACGCCATCTAGTCCCAAGCTAAGCAGAGCTGTATTATGGGTACTGGACAACTGTTACATAGATACATTTACATTTGTAAATTCATATTATACATAAAAATACCTAGACCGATGCAAAACAATAAGGCTCACCAATACAAATGCTTGTACCCTGCGAGGAATCGAACCCACGACCATCGAAAGTAATGGAGGTATGCTAAACCTCTAGAATCCGCTAGATTCGTACCTTTTTGATGAATAGATAAACACGTATAAATTAATTTTATTATTTCATTATGTTGTACATTTATGCATTTAAAATTGTATATACATTCTCGTTCTTTATTTGTGCATTAAATATTGTATATATATTCTCACGATTCTAATGCCAGATAGAGTAGTCAGAGACGGTGACAACTGTCGACGGTGTTGGAAAGTAACACTTGACTTGCGCGCGTTTTTTTTTACTCGCACGCATCTCACTGAGAATATCTTAATCCAATGTTTTGTCGATTATCCAATAATTCTATGAAATGAAATGCTTCTATGTTTATTTTATTCAATAAGGTAATAAACATTCTTGCGGCTCGTGTGATAGTATATTATAATACATCATTACATAGTAAAACAAAGTCGATGTCGCTGTCCGTCCCTATGGTTAAATCTTTAAAACTACGCAACGAATTTTTTATTTTTTATTTATTAGGTCTACAGAACTGGTCTTACATAGTACATAACTTAATACACAACAAATCCTTTTTTTTAATTTTTTGACACTATACAATAATAATTTGCATGAGAATTATGTTATACAGCTTCTTGTATTTCAAGAAAATTACAATTTAGTGTCCGTTTACTATTCCTGACTGATGCTCCGAAAATATCAAATATGTGTCTGACATTATTGTAATTCTCACACATTCGATATACACATAAAACAAACTATTTAAGTAACACATCCTTCTAGATGTAGACACAATATTATAAATGCGTAAGTTTATAAGTGTAGATAGATGAATGTTATAGATGTTTGTACCTCTTCACGCAAAAATTACTAACTGGATTTTAATGAAACTTTACAATAATGTAGATCATACATCAGGCTATAAATTTCACGCGGGTGAAACCGAAGGCACAGCTAGTAATACAATAATAATATCTCAGGACAACTGAAACAACGCCAACTAGTCCCATGATAAACAAAGCTTGTGTTATGGGTACAAACAACTGATACAATAAATAGATAGCTATTTTTTTTATATTAATAATATAGATACAAAATACCCAGACCGATAAAAACAATCATCTCATGAATAAAAATATTTGTACCGTGCAAGGAATCGAACCGGCGCTAAACCGCTATACCACCGAGGCCGTCATATGATATAGTATGAGGTCATTGTTGATCGTGAATGAAAACAAAAGCTATGGATCGGTAATGGTTCCGACCCAGATGAAAATAATTGTAAATGCGTATAATTTTGCTCATTATAAACCTAATTTTTTCTTATTCAACTTCCATTAAAACTACCAAATTTGGTATAACAACAACAATTATCCAATTACTATTTGAAACAAAAATTACAATTAACTCTTTCGGCTTTGCCAATATAATTATATTTATATGAAATAATTTTATTATAAATATAATAATTTCATTAATTGCTTCATCTATATTTGTCGTACCGAAGAATTAAAGTATATAGGGTAATTGCATTATACTAGACCTTGATATAACGTAAAAGGAATCTACAAGAAAGTATCCTCAAATAGGGTTGTATGTCTTTTATTATATGATGTCTTTACTTGTGTATGTTACATGTATCCAGTTTGTTACTTCGAAAAAGTAATGGTACTTATATTTTACATTAAATAATAAAATAACTAATCAAATGTTGTTATGATTGTTATCAACGATCAATCTTTGTGAAACTACGAATATGATTACAAGAAGCTAAATGAATTAGTGTATCTTTAAATGAAATTTCTACTTATTAAAAATGTTAGTTTACAATTTGATTGTATTTGATTTCTTAATTGAGTATATTATTTTGTATTATGACTTTTTGAAAATCCCGAGTTTTATCGAGTTTAGACTTTTGTTGAAATGATTGAAGTTAAATGGCAACCCTAGCCACAAAGTAAATATAACGATTATTTTATTATCACGAGCCTTGTCCGAGACGAAGCGTTGACAACGGCATAAATCAACTGGCTGTCAATTAAACATCGTATTACAACAATACACAATCAAGACACCAATTATTTATTCGCAGGGGGCCTGTCCACGACCGCTATGGTGAAGATCCAACTGCTTGATATAAATGACAATGTACCAACATTCGCCGTGACGGACTACAATGTCTCTTTGAAAGAAGGCAGGATATCATCGAATGATCCTATTGTAGCTGTGTCCGCCACAGATGCAGATTCGGGAAGATTTGGTACTGTCACGTATAGAATTGTAAACGGTAATGATAACGATGTGTTCAGAATTGATAGAGGAACAGGTGAAATTCTTGTTACGAAACCTGCTTTGATACAAGCTAATGGCAAATATGATTTGGAAGTGTCAGCATCTGATGGAGGCGGTCTCACTGCACCTCAAGGAGCTGTGGTGCACGTGAGTGTTATGCCAGCTGGCGTTGGTTCGGCGTTGTTCGATAAACCAAGATACAACTTTCGTGTAAGAGAAGACGCTAGAATTGGGGCTGTTGTTGGAAATTTGAAGGCTACTGTTGGTGATAGAGGTAAGTCTAATTTTATTATTTATAATGTTGAGATGCCTTTATTTTAAAAGGTTAAACATTTTTGTTTATGGTATTGGAATGGCAAACAAGCTGACTGACGAACTGATGGTATTCGCGAAAAAAAAACGAGTCGTCGGCAAAGAAGATTCCGGCTCTAAGAACCAAACCAATGCATTAGTCGACCAAGGAATTAAACACCGAATTTCATAAAAAACAAAGATACATTATAGTGTAAATATTCTATTTACACTAGACTAGACTCGACAAAGAATCAAAAAATGTTCATGCTGAACGAAATCGAAACTTTGTCGCGGTTGAATTTTTAACTAGCGTATTTAATTATATACCTCATCTATTGCCATTTTCCAAAAATGTTATTTTATTACGTAGAACTGGAAGATTTTTTCAATTTGTTGGCTAAAGGCGATGAATTTCATATAGTTATACCGTTGAAGCTTTGACGCAATAAACTCAAATATTATATTTTAAAAGTTAAGTGGTGTACCAAATAGTTTTAACGAAACCTATAACGCGTTAATAAAACATCTCTAATAGACATTCTTCGAAAGAAAGCGGCTTGTACAAACGTTTAGGGTTACCTTATATCGCAAGTTACTTAGCGAAAAGGTAAATATTAATGTTTAGGAAAGGTGAACTACCGTTGAGTCAAATTACCTTATGGCTTCATTTCGCTTTAACAAATTTATTGAATTCGTGCCACTGGTAGATTGCCCTAATTTACAGGCATTAGCGAAGTGTTTAATTGACTCTAACCTAAAAATATTGTTACGTTATTGAATTCTAGTATTAATATTTGTTAGCTAGTGATGTTACTCTTTTCAATTTGATTGTGATTGGAAATGATGCCGTGTAGAGTTTAGATAAAGACTTAGATTTAGTTACTATAACAATTATTAAACTGTCTATATGAAGTAATTATTCCTATTTATATTCAATTACGAAAACTAAATTAATTGGAGATTATAGCTTTTGGGAAGAAGTTTGTAAAAAATACAAATAATTTCAAACTGATATAAAATCTGAGTTCATATTATATTTTCGAATAATCATGATTTCATTGACGCTAGGTCTAGTAAATTAGGATACAGGTTTTTCGGTTGGTCTATTTATAGCATTCTGCTAAAGGAAATCTATTTTTATGCTTTTAAATTTATCACCGTACCTCTGTGTTTCAATCTTATTTACTTTCTTTATATTCTATTTTATTCGTTTGTATTTTACTAAATTTTTTATTATCAATCATAAAACACCGGCCTGACAACAAAATCTTAACTAACCGCAACGTAAATTACGTTTCATAACGTCCGCTTGTCGCTTGTAAATCAGACCAAACATCCAGACGTTTGTGTACCTATAGACAATACGTAATCGCCTATTGTCTAGTATGAAGATCACGACCAAGTGATCTGCGACCGCGGTTCCTTTCGGATGGACCAAGTCTTTTCTAAGTTTCTGTACCTGCCGTACTTTGAATAAATCATTTTAACTTTTATCTTAGAATATTCCTATGGAGACAGCTTTATTCAGACTATACTATGAAAAATAGTACTATTAAGGTGGATATCACGAAATATCAGGTATACTTTGTATGTTTGTTTGTACTAGGTAATCCAGTTCTACTGAACCGATTTTATAAATTATTTTATTGTTAGAAAGGTATTTTATCCCTAATGCTATATAACATCACGCTACGACTAATAGGAGCGTAGTAGCAGTGAAAATGTAGAGAAATATTTCGAGATCTTAGTTTTAATAAAAGAATAACCTCAAATATTGGGTCCGTGCGAAGCCGAAGCGGGTTACTAGTATTAGATATAGGTACATAGATATTTTAGTACTCAATTTAACCTCAAATATTGGGCCCAAGCAAACGACTACTAGCAGTAGATGTAGGTAGATTTAGTACTAAATTCCTTCGTATACCTGACATAAAGTTAGATAAATGAAATGTTCAATACTCGTTATTCTATCCATAACATTAGATATTCATATTTATATGCAATACAAGTATTATGACCGTTTGTTTCTTGTAAATCTCTTACACACCAATAAATGCGTAAATGTACTAATACAGCCGCTATTACGGAGTTGAAACCCGTACAATTCCTGTTGATACATCGTTGATAAATCAGGCGTTGGCCAATAAAGCATGGACTATCTTACTCGAACGCGGTGCGTTTCACTAATATTTATACTACAAGACTTTCCATAATGGATGCATTTACACCGTCTAGTAACTTCATTGTACTCGCATATTCGTAACATTTCGCTGACCGATGCGATAGCATATGCTTGCTGTGTGATCAATGCTCCCTCAAGCAATATTCCGACTTAAATCCTTAACAATTTATACACCGATGTGTTATAATTCCCAAACGGAAATTTATAAATAAATAACCCAGCGCCAACTAGTTCCACGGTAAGCATTGCTTGTGATATGGGTACTAGGCAACTGATATATATTTTTTTTTAAATACATATTAAACACCCAGACTGATACAGACAATCATACTCATGAATACAAATGTTTGTTGATGTCTTGTTTCCGAAAACCTCAGTGCAAGCACTTTTGAATAGTCATTCTGAAGCAGATTCATTACAAGAAGAAAGAGCAAGAAACTTGTGTGTTGCTCTTTTGAATAGATGTTTGATTTAATATCATTATCATTACTTAGTACAAAATAAAGTCAGTGTCGCTGTCTGTCCGTATGTATGCTTAAATCTTTAAATCTACGCAACGGATTTTGAAGCGGTTTTTTTAATAGAGTGAACTCGGGTGAAGCCGGGGCGAGTAGCTAGTAAATATATATTTGGTACAGGTCGGTGTATCAGGCGCCCGCTATGCAGTCCACTCCACGTTTATTTTGTTATAACTTCTAGCACTGTAAATCACTGAATTGCAAACTCTACCGTTACCGTACCCCGTGCACTTGTCTATGAGAATTCTGCACCATGACTGTACCATTGTTTAAGCGGAAAGATAGCGGCTATTTAACATTCATACTTTGAGGTATTGCTTATATTCTACTTCGTACTAAATTATTGCAAGAATTGAGTATTTGCTAAATATATCTTGCAGGGACTAATAAAATTTTATTAGAATATAGTTCGCATTTTATATATTACGGCGATAATAATGAAATGAAATGAAATGAAAATATTTATAGTACAAAATGTAGTGGTACATATTATATAAATAGATTAGATTAGAAATATCTAATGTTGTTAACTTGATGAGTTTGAATATTAGAAATTTTGATCTATGAATTTCTTTTTGAACGACTTCAACCCCAAAAGAGTTTAGTTTCTCTTATTCCTAATTGTTTATTTCATATTTCTTGCTACTTGTCGCTATCTTTTGATTGAGTGCTAAATTAGACCAGTTTAGCACAGTACTGGTTTCCCCCGAAACGGCTGATCCCTGAAGGTTGAACTCAGGTATTGAAATATTAACAAATATAATGTTAACGAGAACGGGAACCTCTTTTGCTAACCGGGGAGCGAAGAAAAATCTTAAAACTTGGTTAGCATGCCAATTAAACTTAGATACAAAATATCTTGTTGTTAAAGGACAACAAGAGTTTAAAGAAATCCTGGTGCAATAGCAACTAGTACTAACCCTTAACTACTAACTAGTACTAAGCATTTACTGAACTTACTAACTAGTACTAAGCATTTACTGAACTTAAGCGTTTAAGCATTTACGGTGGGCATTAAACAACTAACAATAGCGTTCCCAAGGAGGGTTGGTGTCAGGCAGGTGGCGGGCCGTAAAACACTTATGCCAAAAACCTTTGCAGTATGGAAAATACATACTTCGCCGACCCCGAATAATGGGATAAAGGCAACGCAATGAATAAAGTTAACGAGAATTCAAATATGTATATTTACATTTCTTACTACTGTTCGCTTAAACATTGATAATTCGAATGGTAAACAAGCTGACTGCCCTCCTGATGGTAGGCGGTAACCGTCGTCTACACACCTGAAAAAACGGGCAGAACATCGACGTCCATTCCAGCGAACTAACATGTCATGCCCCTGTACTTTCACTGCTATATTTCATTTTTCAACCGATACAGTTTTCAAAGCTAACTACTTGACACCTGAAATATTGAGTGGAGACAAGGGTAGTTCTATCTCTGTGATCTTTGTCTCGCAGAGCATTTAGTACAAAATTGCAATCTCGTTTTTATGATTTAGAAGTTTCTAGGATTAGGAAAACAAAAATTTTGTATGTTGTACTCTGTTATCCTCATCTAACCACATTTATGTGTGTAGAACTGAAACTATTACAGTAGTCAGCCAAGCTTCTCCCAGAAGCGCAAAAGTCTCCAGGTATCTTCACAGGCATCACGGAGAGACTTCACCGTTCCCAGGATATTTGCGTTATGTGGTCACTGCTACACTCTCCAGGATTACATGAGCTGCCATTTCTTCGGCTTCAAAGCAGCCCCGACCAAGAGGACTGTCTGTAGCACCTATTCTGTACAAGTGTTGGTTTAATGCTAGCGGCCTGTTATTGTAGCATTCATTATTTTAAGGTTTTCGTATTTCGGTTTAGAAGACGTTTTGGTAATCGTTTGTTTACTACTAGAATTGTCATTTTTAATTGTTTACAATCAGTTTGTGTCCTACAATAATGTTTATTACTCTATGTATTTACGATCCAAGCCATTACAAAGTTAGTAGATATTACTGGATTGAGACCGTACACGATGTTGAGTAGACCATTCAAAGCAAATAAGGATTGATACAATGTTGTTTCATGTTCTTTTTAGCGGTAATGTGCGAGCTATAGTAATTTTATACGATGTTCTCGTATATTTTATCTGATCGCTATAAACTGATTATTAGGAATTAAGCAGATTATTTCGACTTTGTGAACGGGCGAACTGCATTATTTTTATGCGCGGTTTCTTTGTGGGGATTTACGAGATCCCCGTTGCTTAGTTGTTGAGTACTCAAGTAATATTACA